ACTGGGCACTGGCGGATCCAGGGGGTAGGGCCATGCTCCCCCCAAAGCCCGTTTACCCCCCCCCCCCCCCGCAAAAACCCGAGTTTTAACATTGCGCGGGGCATGGAAAGGAAGGGGCCATTTCGGCCATTTGCCCCCCCCCCCGAAAAAAAACGTCCGGCTCGATCCGCCAATGAAACGTTAGGAATTATCAAAATTGCTAATCGGACATTGTGGCCGGACATACCTACACAACTTCCGTTCATAAGAGCCGAGGCTGTGTTAGAGTTAAATGAGGAGAAGGCTGAAGGCTCTAGCTAGTAATCGCATGAAGTTCGCTCTGTCCTTGTAATAACGGACTTTCAGTAATTTTGATGAATAAATTTGCCACAAAAAAATTGAGTACCAAAATGCGGCATTTGAAGGTAATTGATTGCAATTGCCAGGGGCGTGACCAGGTCAGAGTGGGCGGGGGTGAAAAAATTACAAGTACTTGAAAACTCGCCGATATTGAATTCTGTTTTCTTGAAACTGGAAGCATCTCTAACGTTTTGAAATTAATGCATTTCGAGGTAGCTAGTGGCTTGGGATGCTCCATGTTTCACTAACATTCACTTTCATAGTAGGTTTTTATTCCCACCCGGCCGAAGGGGAGGGTTTGATGTGCACTGCAGCCCCAACGGTTTTCTCGATATTGTTTGCAGTGGTGTAAGGCTGGAGAGCTGAAAGTCGACATTCCGAATCTGTTGACACCAACAGAACAGGCTCAGGTCAGCTTACTGACATATGACGTCACAAATAAACCTCGGAATAATGCAAAAAGTTGCAGCTTTGCACTGTACTCTCAGTGTAAGGGAACCTTTTGCAGGGGATGACACTAGTAACGGCAGTAACGGCTCTTGAGATTTCACAACATCAATTCCCCTAACTTTCCTAAATTTTCACCCGAAGTCAAGCTTGTCACGTGACTTCACTAATATAAGTCAATGGGAAATATTGAAACATTTGAACTGTTATTTGGATGCCGAAAATGATCCAAGCCCATCTCAAACGCCTGTAATCGTGATTTCATACACTTTTGCGATGAGCGATTCTTAGGTTTTGCATTGAGGACTTTGCAATGCGCCATATACATATGCCGTTACATTGTACGGTCGTGTGAGATCATCGGTTTTCTTTTTGTCAATGACTGAATGGAATTTATCTAACGAGTCGAATAAGCCACCAGTGAACTCAGGGAACCCTGCTGAACTGAATCATATACTTACAATAACTGTTTTCACGACGGTTATCTGACACACATTAACTGATACCTATTTGATGGGATTTGGTCAAATTTGGTTCATAGTTTCTTAATTGCTTTTAGCTTAGGTTGCGCTAGTTGCTTATTGACCTTATTTATCAAATTATCAGTCGTTACTTTTTACTCAAGCATAAGAATAAAATTACGTTATGAAAATAGCTGTAGTAAAAGATTTGGCTAGATTCGTCTGATATCCGTCGTGAAAACGGCTGAAATGGCCTCATTTGAACAGCTTCTTGACCTCAGCGGTTTTGATGTGGCCTCGACCTGAGGAAAACGTCTTAAGCTGAACTCTTCCAAACCAAGTTTTATCATTCCAGCAACCGGTGACCTCTGAGGTCAGGTCAAATGCCTTGAGGCAGGGATCCAATTTTCGGCCAATAAATCCCCTAAATGGTCGCAGAACCGTCATTTCGTTATCTGGCAAAATATTTCAGGTCCCGAAACTCGTCAATTGAGATAATACCGACCTACGGCAAAAGTATCTGTCGATTCGACAGCTTTTTCTCAGTACATTGATGTCCCTCCCCTCAATGTCGTCATTTTGTTAGGAATCTATTAACGAAAAACTCTCGACTCAATCAGCGTTAGTGACGTCATAAATGACGTTGCGTCATTATGACGTCACGCAAGGCCCACCAGCAAAACTAAAGCATCGGACCTTGCAAAGAATGCGTGAATTAGATGCGTTCTCTCCGTAAACTATTGTTTGGCGTTTCGCAATAGTAACATTTTTAAGCATTAGATAGGCTCACTTACGTGACGTCATAGTTCAGTAAAGTGACCTTATATGAAAGTTCATTTGATGTCACAAGATAAATCAACTAGATAACTTGTAATAACTTTCCGGCTTCAGCACTCTATCGCCAATGCGTCCCCAGCAGTGATGAGAAAACCGTCAAAGGTGATCAGCATTCGCTCCCTCGGCCACAGGGGGTTAAACCTCGCTCTCTTGAAAACAATACGCCATTATGACGTTTTTGGATCTTTGGGTCCTAACTTAGCTTTCGTAGGTGTCTTAAGCATCTTTAAAAAGAATTAACAGCGTCGCAATGAGCTCTTGATCACATTTCACCGTACTCCGTTTAGACCGGTTGACAGTTATTGTTATTTTTTTCACTGTACGACGAAATTCAATGTTGTATAGCGACCTTTAGGGGAAAAACATGTTTTTAATATTTTCATCATTGAAAGTCAATGCGTTGACAAGACTTTTGCTGCAAAAATAAATTGTAAAAAAAGATGGCCACGTTCTCAAAATTTGATTTTTATAAATCAATTTTATGTTAAAAAATTAAAAGAGCAAAATTTTCAAAAATAATTGATATCACCAAAATCTTTGGTTAATTCTTATTGTGATGATATGCAGTTTTATATGAATCTAATCAGTATTTAGCTAAATATTTGCGGATGAAACTTAGAGTTTTTATGGTAGCCATTAAGTTGCCTGGGGCAATATCTCCCAAAGTATTCGACGAATGAGATTGAAAATGTCACAACACGAATCGCCGGACAAGATAACCCCATAGACGAAATTTCATCAAAATATGAGAGGTAGGGTGTTATTTCGCGATTTTTTTGGTCGATCTGTCGTGGAACGCCCCAGATGTTAAATTAGCTTAGATGTTTAGTGTTTTATAATTAGAATGTTTTAGTAAATTAGTGCATGTACTTTTAGTATCGAATACACCTTGCTTGGTATTTTTGACGAATTTTAGCTACGAATCTTTTGCACCAGATGCTTTTTATTTCTAATGTGCATTACAAAATACATACATTACAGATGCACGGCACATAACGCAACTTAATTGAGATATGCACAACAGCGACAAAAAAAAGATATGGAAAGTATCGAATCCACTTGGCCTGGTATTTTTAACAACTGCATTTCACGAATTTCGTGCACCATATGCTTTTTATTTCTAATGAGAATTACCTAGGTAATAGGTAGGTATGCACGACACATCCTCTTGCTGATTTAGGTACGGCATTTTTATATTGATTTCAGTTGTTAGCGTCTTGATATTTGCTGGATATTTGCACATTGACCGTAATACATAGATGCCTCAAATCAAGGCCATATATAGGCTCCAATGATAATTTGAATAGATCACACAAGTGCTTGGATCATTTCAACAAGACGCAGCATGTAACCACCGTGAAGAATGTGCACATTCTTCACGGTGGTTACATGCTGCGTCTTGTTGAAATGATCCAAGCACTTGTGTGATCTATTCAAATTATCATTGGAGCCTACATATGGCCTTGATTTTTGATTTTATTGTTTATATTTCAACTCAAGGCTTCCTCATCCGGTATTCAAGGTCACTGTTGAAGAAAACCTACCCTCGCCCCGTTGGGGGGGCCATTTTGCCCCCCCCTGTTGTTTTTCCTGAATAGCAAGAAAACGGCGGTGCGCAGCGCCGCCAAATTTTCAGTACCTTCCCGGGCATCAATTTGACACCTTCACACCAAATTTCAAGCCTGTCACCTTAGGTCAGGAGCTATTGAGGTCAAACTGAGGTCATGTTCGAGCAAAAATGAGCAAAAAACATGCAATCTTGAAACGCTCACCAAATCTACAGTTATCAAGCAATTTCAAAGTTCTTTATATGGTCTAGTAGACAAAAAGCGGCGCTACAAAACTGTTATCTCGGATTTTCAAAATTTTGGGTTTTTGACCCCAAAAACTTCAAAAAATTAATTTGTTTAGAAAAACTAAAAAAAAATCCAATCTTTTTCCGAATTTCGAAAAAAAACCGGAATATATGTGATAATCCCTGCGCTCTCCTATATACATACTAAATTTCAGATCGATATCTCGTTTTTTGGCCAAGTTATAGCGAAAAAACTGTTCAAAAATGATGACGTCAAATTTTTGAACTCAATTTTTAGCAATTCTAGACCACGTACGGCAAAACAAAGACCACCATTGAACTCCCCGTGACAAGCTGCATCGATTCGATACCCATTTTATGCAAAAATATTAACTTTGAAATTTGACCTAATTTGACCTGACCTTGACCTGACCTTGACCAAAACGTGACCTAAGCTGGCCCCAAAGGCTGCCTGACCCACATAATCGCATTTGTCATGTAAAATGGACCATGAAACATGTATCACACGACACATTCATATTGTGACCCCCCGTGACCTGACCTCTGTGACCTGACCTGGTATCAGTGACCTCAAATAGCAAAATATATGTTTGAAGAACATTTCCCCATCGATGATTTTCAATGAAATGCATTTTACTCGATTTTACAACGCATTTCTTGAAATGCCTGTAAACGGTGAAAATTGGACCTTTGACCTGACCTGTGACGTCATCGGTTTGACCTAGGTCAATAAAATTGGGTCACAAGGTAGTTCCCTGATAGGGCTATCCAACACCGTTTGCCGCTTGTCGCTAGGTTGCGTGTTTCTCGAGATCTTAGGGGGGGGCCAAAATGCCCCCCCCCCCCAACGGGGCGCGTTGCTCGGCAGAGCCCAACGGGGCGCGGGTTAATAGTTAAAAAAGTAAAATTCCTGGCATTCAGCTATGGGCGACATCTATAATGCTTCTTTTGGTGTTGTAGATCACAAGCGTAGGTGGCGCAGGCTACATGCAGTAAAATACTTGGATGAAATTTGAAGTAGGTATGCTATAGTATGAATAATGCGTACTCAAACGTGACAGGTGATTGGACTTCAATAAATTATGTTCTCATTACTATTTTACTGTCAATTCTTGCTCACAATTGGTATCATATTCACAGATTACCCCACGAATGTCTGCCGTAATTTTGGTCGGATATTTGGGGTAGAACCGACGATAATCAGCTGATTGATTGGCTTGTTCAGTTCCTCACGGACCGTGAGCATCTGTTTGCATGGCAAATTTGGGGTAAAATAAGCACTACTCCATGGGGTAGTTTGGAAGTGGCCAATCAGAACCTACCCCATTTGGTGAAACTGGTTTGGGGTAGTTTCGCCGAAACTACCCCAAACAGAGCTTGGTGAAACTGGGCCCTGGAAACAAAATTAAAAAATCAGAATGAATGACATTTTTGTAGTTAATAAGTAGGTACTGTTAAGAACAAAAATGAAATAGTCAGAGCAAAATGGAAAATAGAACATCAAGCATGATCATGAAGAAAGCATCACAATCACGAACAAACGTTTAGTACGTAACAACTTGAACTTTTCTTTCAAGGCCAACAGCCTCATTTTTAAAGGAAAAAAGATAAGAACTGTAGGTTGTAAAACTCAAATTTGGAAAGAAATATGCAAATTTATAAATAACTATCAACAAAAGAATGGACCAGCACCATAAAGAATGTCATTGACAAACAAGAATGTAGGGAAATGTAGTGCATTGTCACGTCTGGTATGAAATAAAAGCTGGAAATGAAGAAAATGTGACCAGCCTGCGGAAAGTGGGACGGTTGTAAAGGTTGGCTACCGCCCTTGACTGGGAACTTCTGGCTCCTCTGTGGAAAATAAATTATTTCACGTTAAAAATAATTCACCAAGCTACAATAAGCAGGTAACATTTATTTGAAAAAAAGTAGTTGGTTGATCTGTGCAGAGTGAAAGCAGTTATCAGCTCAGAAGGAAAAGTGATGCATGTTTTTCTACATAGAAAGACAGAACAATTACACATAATGCATAACATATGAAATAAAGAATTTACCTTGGGGCAGCTCGTGCGGCTGGTGGGAACTCCAGTCTTCTCTGGGCCCCTCTGGACCGACTCACACCTCTTCCTCTTCCTCTTCCTCTGGTTGTCCCTCTGGTCGCAGGCATTTTTCCAAGCTAAAAGAGTAAACAAATATATGAACCCTACAAGGTACGAATATGAGGTAGGAATACAGGGTAGGAATTGTAGGTACTCATTCAATTTGTTTATTACGAGCGAGCGAGCGCAGCGAGCGAAGTGAGTCTTTTCAATATAACGGAAAAATCTCAGTATGAGCGGGCCGGCCCGGCCCGGCCCGGCCTGTAACGCTTTTGAGAGGCTTATATCTCAGCAACCGCTGCACACTGGTCGGAAACGCCCTCACGAGAGGCCACGGGCGATTCCGGAGTTTCGGATTATTTTCTATATAGATCGATTTGAAATTGATCAAATTATTATACTTAGACCAAAAAAACTAATCCGGGTGACCAAAAATAGCTGTAGTCAGCCCCCGAAGATGGGGTATCCCAGAACTCGGAAACTAACGCGGAGCAAGAGGTTTCTTGAGGCGGATATTCAGAGTCTTATTGCTGATAGACACCAAATTGAAATCCCACATATTATGCATCAAAATGTTCGTTATGAAGTTGCCGACTGGTCAGTGCAAAATTTTTGGTATACTTTTTCCCTAACTAAGATGTACTATAGCTTTTTTATGAAGGCTCTCCTACAGTGATTCTGGAATATAACTGCAAAGTTTAGGTAAGGAAACAACAGGTAGTCCCATCTAGTTCCACCCTGATTTTTTTGTGAGATGAAGTAGGATTTAAATTTACACCAGGGCAACATAAAAGCTAACTGCGCATATTTGCGCAAAATTTGCAGGAGCCGCTCTTCCTACCCAACTACCGCCCGCCCCGCCCCAGTTTCGGCTCGGCCGCCGCGCCCGGCTTACGCTGACCTGTGTGGCCTGCACGCATCCATGCGCAGCTGACTGGTCATTAAAAACAGATGCGCTTGAGTTTATGAATTTTGTGAAAAGCGCGTTTTATGTATGCATTTATGTATGTATTGACATCAAAAGCCTTCCACATATTGCGTGGCGATTACGGCTTGTATTTAGAGAGCCTTGCTATTGACAACCATCACTCGGCTGAAGAAAGTGGAAATTGAAACCTTCGTGAATATAAGACGCTGCAAATATAGGACACCTGTCACTGACGTCGGGTTACCTTGGGCCGTCTTTTTACATTAGATCACAATTCCGGTATTTAACCCTGGCCGGACCGATTGGTTTTCTACATTGACCGGGGAGGGTTGGTACATCTCCCTCGCCGTTTCGCCTTTAATTGAGCTAGAGCCTCGCGGAAAAAAAAAAACAAAATTGTAAGCCGTTATAAGACGCAAAAATTAGGTACTACCCGATTTTAAGGTCTTAGGTCAGCCAGTGACCTCTTAGGTCAGGTAAGTGCCACAAGGCACGGGCTCAGTTTTAGGTTACTTACTTTGCCAAAAATGGTCGCACTGCCGCGATTTTGGCATAATCGTGTTTGTCTAGCTCAGGCGCGTTGAATGCTATACTTGGTGTTCGGGTGAAGTCAACTTAACCCTCACCGGCACAGGCAATTTTGCGTCCTTCGACGGCACAAGTTGGTACGACCCCCCTCGCGTTTGGCCCCTGATCGAGCTAGAGCCTCGCGGAAAAAACGAGCGTGTTGCCCGTCACGAGAGGAAGCCGATGATACCCAATTTTAAGGTCCTAGGTCATCGGGTGACCTTCCAGGTCAGGTCAATGACCCGAAAACCGGGAAAATCGGGACCTGTTAGAAAGTCGTAAATTGTGGCTGCTATGTGGTTTTCCGGGGTGCTGATCACGAATATCGTATTAGTTTTGATCTCTTTAAGCATTTAGACCAGGTCGGGTCAGGTCAGGTCAACCGGTAGGGGTTGTGACGGGTATTCGTAATACGTGTCAACCGCCTCTGACAGCTTCGTAACATGTTACGAAGGCACCAAAACTACTTCGTAAATGTTCAATTGGTTGCTTCAGCTCCAAAAACTAGCCTAGAAACATGTAAAACTCGAAAAAGTGAACCGAGGTCACCCGCGAGGTCACCAAAGGTCAATGACCTGACCTGACCTTCAGGTGACCTTGACACCCATCCTAATGTATGGGAGCAACATCAAATCACATGTTTGAACGTTTGAAACCACGAAAAGCTTGCAAACGCGCGGCTAATGCGAGCCGACATACGCCGAATCGCGATTTCGGCCAAACATGGTCACGGAAAAGAGGTCACAGGTCAAAGGTCATTGGGGTCAGGGTCATGCAATTTTCAGGGTAGGTGTAAAATTGATCAATGCGAGGGTACTAAAAGTTTCGTCGCGATCATACCTCCCCCCCCCCCTGTGCCGGCGAGGGTTAAGGTGTTAACCTCGGGTCAAGGTCAGGTCGGAGCCCCTCAGGTCACGAAAATGGTTGAAGGAGGTCATATCGCATATCATTCGATTCGGCAGGTCTTCCTGAGTCCAATGGTGGCTTTCCCGACTCTCTAGCTCCATCTGATCAGGAGTTATTGACGAAAAACTTACATGGCCTTAGTGACGTCATAAATGACGTCACGCAAAGTCAACAATGCTAAAGTCAAGCACTGGACCTTGCAAGGAGTGCATGAAACCATTCCCGGTGCCCGAATAGCAGCTCCCAATTTCCCTTCTTGACTTAAAGTGGTGCTAGATCCTGTATTATTCTCAATTATGACGTCATAACTTAACAGATTTACGTCATATATTTAGTGCTTGACATCCAAATGATAGCTTACATATGACAGAGAAGGTATGCAAAGTTTTATGAAGTTTGCTTCACTAGTTGTGGAATAACAAGCAAAAAACTTTTGCAGAAAGGCCGCTGGCCTCTCGCTGGAGCGTTTCCGACATAGACCCGGGAACAGGGGGGGCAGCGGGGGCGCTTGCCCCCCCCCCCAACTTTAGAGCCGAGGGGGCGGCGCCCCTTCAACATTGAGGCAGCGTGAAAGGATCTTTCCTCCCTTTTCCGGACTTCTTTCCTTCTTGTTTCCTTTATGCGTCTAAACATCAACACACGGCATTTTCCTAGCCATCTGAATGGTTTCTGCTGATACAGAACAGCATCGATTTGACAACATCTGCTATTGTCATCCCGCTTTGGTTTGGGCCTGACCTTGGCCATAAGTTTGGCAGGCCAAATTTTATACTGGACCATTTTGAGTCAACTTTGAGACATACATAACGTACAACGGTGGTAAAATCGTTGCTTTATGTACCTGACACAGTTTACCCGCTCCGGGTGTGAGGGAAGGGTGTGGGGCAATGAGTGCACCGACTTGGCGCCCTCGGAGGGCTGGTATGGGATTAAAGCTCAGCGACACTAAGGGCTTGTGTGGTGCCTTCGGTTATCGGTAGCACCCTCAGAATCACCGGCGTAGGGGCGGGCCCTCAGAGCCGCCGGTAAGGGGCCCTTAGAGGCACTGGTGTGGGGCCACCATGCAGGTGCCGGTGTGGGCGCTCGGAGGTGCTAGTGTGATTCTCTCAAAGGCGCCGGTGAGGGTCCTTACAGGCGTTGCTGTGGGCCCTCATAGACGCTGGTGTGGAGCCGTTACAGACGGGTGTGGGGTCTTTAGAGCTGTCAGCTGTTGACGCGAATCCTCTACAACCCGGCGGGGGGTTCTCAGTGACCGGCAAGGGGCCCTTAGGCCGGCAGAAGAAGTTTTGTGGAATCCTTAGAGACCGGCATGGTACTGTCAGACGCCGGTGGGGCCGTCAGGGCTCAGAGTCACTGGTGTGAGGCCCTCAAAAGTCACCAGTGGGTGGCCTTTATAAGCGCAGGTGTTGACTGTTGGGTCCTCAGAGCCGCCGATATAGGGTTTTAATAGGAACTGATGTAGACACTCAGAGTTGGGGGGTGTGAAACGCTCAGAGACACCGGTGTGGGCCCTCATAGGCGCCGATGAGGGCCCCCACAGTTGCCGTAATGGGCCCTCAGAAAAATAAGTGTGTGACCATCACAGGCCGCGGGAAATAATGCCCTAGAACTTGCCCCTCATAGGCCGGTAAGAACTCTCAGAGGCCAGTAACGGGCCTTTGGAGACCACTGAGGGGCACTTAAAATATGCAAGAGGCCCTCAGAAGCCGGCGTGAGCCCTAATGGAGATCTTTAGTGTGGTTATTTAGGGCCCATGAGGTGCTCTAACGAGCCCCATGGGGCCCTCCTGAGTCGAAATATGGCCATCGTTAACCCTCAGCGGTCAAATGGCGCCGCAGGGCCCTTCGGACCCGAGTGTCCCTTTGAACCCGATGTGGGGGGGGGGGTACGTGTCCCCCTAGACCCCTAGCTACGCCACTGTTTCATATGCATCATGTCGGGTATTTTAGGCTCGCCCCCCCAACTTGAAAATCGTTCCCGGGTCCCTGGTTTCCGACCAGTGTGCGCTGGACCGATTGGCCTGCGGTCTTTTTTGTTGGGTAGCCCCATCCCTTCTACCCCGTAATTGACTACTTTTGATACATCTCAGTGACCGTCGTGGCACGTGCCACGTGAAAAGTCAAGGGTGTTCAAGCTGTTTTGCAAAAGTAGTGATTTTGAGAGGCTCATATCTCAGCAGGCGATTGACTTGCGGTAATTTTTGTAGGGTAGCAGCATCCCTTCTACCCAAAATAGGATACTCTCGATGCATGTGGGTCACCCCCAGTGCACGTGCAAAATACAACAATAAGAGGTGCCAAATTTGTTCCCATTTCAGTAACTCGGTAATTACTGGGGCCATTTCGCTGAAACTTGGCATACAGGTAGGCACCCACCAGGCAATGCATTCCCATGTGTTGCGGTTAGGGTGCTACTGCACGTGCGCACGTGCAGGTGGCGTTTCCAGATCTCGAGAACGGCTGGGCCGATTGCGCTCAAATTTGGTACACGGTTGGGGACCAGTTAGAAGGGTGCCGTGCAAAAGTCATTTTGGACCCCGTTTGCACGTGCGCACGTGCAGAATGCCGCTTCCAGATCTCAGGAACGGCTGGGCCGATTGCGTTCAAATTTGGCACACCGCTAGCGACCGGTTAGAAGGGTGCTTTGCGCAAGCCCGTTGGAAGCACCCTCTCGCCCTTCCGCACGTGCAGGGCTCACTATCTCGCTCGCTCGTTCTTCGCCCAAAAGGCGTTTTACTGGTATTTTCACTTTTTCACTTGTTCAATTTCAAATAGTTCATTTCACATCTAGAAATAGCATTGAATCCCATAAAAAGAACCAGTCCCACAATGACCCACAATGTGTTATCTTTGCAATTTTAATTGCTATATGTCTAAGAACTAAGAAGTAAGTAGTCAATATTCAACTCAGAGTAAAACATAAATATACCATAAATAGGTACCAGATACCTATATCACAAGAGGAGGCTGTTGGCTGATTTGCAGCAAGGGAATACACAAGGGAATACAGGTTACATAATCCTGTCAATGGTATTTTTTGTAATGCATTTATAAATGAAACTTGCGCGCCATTTATGGCGACAAATTCCGCTTCCATATCATACGACCTTGAACTCTAGTGCTGTCATAAACATGGAGGTGCTTTTTTACCCGAATTATAATAACGATAACATGACGAAAAATTTTCAAGTTGCGTGATTGTGAGATGCCTAATAAACTCTAAAAAATCATTTATGGTGATTGGAACCCTAAAAGCATGGTTTTGTGCGAACTTTTCAAAGGTGCCAGTCTTCCTTTAACATAATGTCACTCATAGGGAATGATCATGAGCATGGGCAGTAGGTGAAACCTTTTGTTCTGGTTAACAAACAACAGAGACATGGCAGAACAAACGACCAGACAACATATGATAAAATCAATTGTCAAAAACATCAGGTACAACACAACTGACCTTGTGCCTGTGTCGCCCCTCCTAAGCTTTTTCATGTCCAATCGAATCCTGTGGAGGAAGACAAATTCATTTTGACATGGATGAACAGAAAAGGGTGTGAGGCAAAAACAGTCCCACAAATTGGTCTTTCTATTCTTTTAACACTGTCCGATGGCACAGCATCATCCAATGGTACATTTCAAAAGGACGAACGAAGATAAGGTTCACCATTTTTCAATAAAATGACATCGTAAATACCACAACTTTCAATCTAGGTATGGCAGATGTTACAAAAGGGTAACTTAAGTACTCCCCAAAATAATTTCCACAAAATATCACCTAAAGAAACCAGATGTTCCTTAGGGCAGGGAGAGGGACAGCAAAGAAGTGATACGCCTAAAAAAATACAACTGACTAACATATGTCCTTACCTCCATTGCCGTGCTGACAGCATGTTGGACGCCAGGTGGGAGAGTTGCCAATTCATCTAGATCTTCATCTATATCCATGCTGAAATAAGGTTTAACAATGATGTCTTGCCGACTGTTTTCGTAGCGGGCTGAAAAATGCAAAATTCAGCATATTTATCACACGATAGGCGTTATCACGAGTGTATTCGCGGCCATTGGGGCGACGTAAGAAAAGAAGAAAACAACTGGCCCCAAGAACTTAAAATTATCAGTTAGCATGCACCTTTTCCTTGATCTGTAGAGAATTAACCATTAATTGCCAGAGAAAATTGCATTTAAAATCTTCCATTTATGTTTTTTTCATCGTTTGCACGATATGTTCTCTTACTAAGCTAGAAACACTAATTAGAAATAGTTCCCGCATCATCGTCAAGAACAATATGGAAGGCTTGAAGTGAATACAATAATGTAAACGGTTTTGTAATCTATCTGAAGACACTTCTTAAAATTGCCTGTAGAAATATTGAAGGCAAAAGTTCAACTTTTTCACAAGACGGATGTCTAATTATAAACCTTTTCAACGTGTGACAACCCAGCCGGTATTTCGTCGCCTACAGTCCAGCTTTCCCTAGTGACCGATAGAGGCGCTGCTATCGATGTCCGCCCGTGCCGCCTAACGATCACACAAAAGGAGTTTAATGCCGGAAAATTGAACAAAAAATATTGTTATATATTAGCTTTCATACGTTCCATCTTTGACTGAGATATACCAATAAAAAGTGAGTGGATACAGTGCATACCCAGAGAAGAGCAATCATCTGCAAGAATATGCCCAATTCCCAAACAGCCAATGACTGGAACTCCCTACCACCACAAGTTGTAAGTCTGTTGCAACAGTTACAAATTCAAGTAGTTATTGATGAGCAATGGAGAGGCCTGATGTTTGATGTCATGTCCCCCACCAGTCACCCCTTTAAGTCTAGGGCCCTGTTTCACCGGTGATAGCAGCACGCTGCTATTCCATTTCGCGAGCTGACATCACATTCACACTTCTGGTAGTGTTGGAGGAATAGGCTTGTTGACGTCTCCATGGAAACCCAATTCGACACGTGTAATAGCAGCGTGCTGCTATAACCGGTGAAACAGGGCACAGATACTCCCAAAGCTTAACCTTCCAGGCGGTGGGGGGGGGGCATTTTTTTGCCCCCCCCCTTTAGTTTTTTTCGATATATCTCGAGAACCGCTGCGCCGATCGTCACCAAACTTTCAGTACCCTCCCGGGAGCAGCTAGCGCACATGGTGACCAAAATTTTTTCCAAAGGCTATGATAGGTTGGCCGCTAATGACGTCAGAGTGACGTCATTTTTGCCATTTTCGACCCAAAAAAAAGTTTCGCGAGAAGAGCTATCAGGCCAACAGCTTTAGAGATACAGAAAAATGTTTCAGACATAAAAGGTGTGGAATTAAAAGGGCTACAAAACTGCTATTTCGGTTTTTCGAATTTTTTGGATTTTGACCCCCAAAAATCAAGAAATAGATTTTTTGAATATAATAGCCAAAAAATCCAAAAAGTTTTTTGATTTTCGAAAAAAACGGAAGATACGTGATAGCCCCTACCGCCTTCTATCTGCATACCAAATTTGAGATCGATACCTCTTTTTTGGCCAAGTTATAGCGAAAAAAACTGTTCAAAATTGATGACGTCAAATTTTCAAACCCAATTTTTAGCAATTCTAGACCACGTAGCGCAAAACAAAGACCACTATAAGACTCCCCGTGACGAGCTGCATCGAATCGATACCCATTTTATGCAAAAATATCAACTTTGAAATTTGACCTTTTTTGACCTGACCTGCACCAGAAAGTGACCTAAACCGTACCTGATGGTCTTATAACCAACACAATTGAGTTGGAAATGAAAAACTGGCCATAACACATGCATCGCATAACCTTAGTAAAGTTGGGCTCATGTGGTGAGTTGTGACCCTTGGTGACCTTTGGTGACCTGACCTGTGACCTGACCTGGTATGACTTGTGACCTCTAATAGCAACATATGTACTAGAAACTGACGCCTTATCGCTGATTTTCGACAAAATGCGTTTTACTCGGTGTTATAGCGCTTTCCCTAGAAGTCTCGTGAACGGTGAAACATTTTATCTTTGACCTGACCTGTGACGTCATCGGTGACCCCGAGGCCAATAAAATTTGGTTTCCAGCAACGAATTTGACAGGGCTATCGAACGCCGTTTGAATTTTCCGGATCCGTCCAGTAGTTTCGGAGATACGGGGGGAGGCAAAAAAGTGCCCCCCCCACCGCGCGGAAGGTGGCTGGTAGGCCCACCGCCTGCCGGGTTAAGCTAGGTTAGAACAGAATCTCCAGACTAAGCAGCTTTTTTCCTGATTAAAAGCAAGGTAAGGTAAAATCAGCTATTAGCAAACTGATAAGTAGAAATATGATGTTCAATTATAAGTCAAAACTCTATTTCTGTTTCAATGTGTATGCACTGATGTTAGTTGTCGGACTTTCGTCCCCGTCTTGAGTTGAGATGTTAGTTTCACAACGTTTCGGCCAGTTACTTCTCCGGCCGTCGTCAGGTGTTCTTTGGCCCTTAGAAGGACCTGGATGTTGGTGGCGTTGCGCCGTATGCGTCATACCGTTCGAAAGCTCCTGTAGTCAGCGGGAATCGAACTCGGGTTTCCCCGGTGATAGTCCACGGTTCTAACCACTCCACTATCGAGGCAGACATCGTTATGGAGCTGGAAACTTGGTGTCATTTATCCCCCAGATGTTTTTGTGATTTCCTTAGTAGTGGGAGCCATATTGGGCTGATGTCAACGCTTGGCTCAGCCCAATATGGCTCCCACTACTAAGGAAATCACAAAAACATCTGGGGGATAAATGACACCAAGTTTCCAGCTCCATAACGATGTCTGCCTCGATAGTGGAGTGGTTAGAACCGTGGACTATCACCGGGGAAACCCGAGTTCGATTCCCGCTGACTACAGGAGCTTTCGAACGGTATGACGCATACGGCGCAACGCCACCAACATCCAGGTCCTTCTAAGGGCCAAAGAACACCTGACGACGGCCGGAGAAGTAACTGGCCGAAACGTTGTGAAACTAACATCTCAACTCAAGACGGGGACGAAAGTCCGACAACTAACATCAGTGATACTAACACCTCGTCTCAAGCATTCAGAAGAACTATGTGTATGCACTATAGTTCATTTTTTCAAAAAGGACGCTGACTCCAAAGGCTCTAGTCAATCTCCTTGTGCATCTGACTATTCGTCTGCGAGAGGGACGGCGCGTGCAAGGTGTACCCAGTGACATCAAGCCGGTTTTTTAATTGGTTCAGGGTGTCAGAGGTGACGACCACAAGCGGTAGACTATTCCGGACTAAAGACGGTAGATTGTCAGGCCTTGCGGCGCCTGTTAACCCGCGCCCCACTGGGGGGGGGGCTATTTATAGCCCCCCTCCCGTTTTTCTGCAATAACTTCCATACCGCTTGACGAATCGACGCCAAACTTTCAGTACCTTCGGCTGCATCAATTTGACACCTTGTGTCAAAATTTGAACTTCGTAGCTACCATAGGTCGGCCGGAAATGACGTCAGAGTGACGTCATGTTCGTCCGATTTCGACGCAAAACATTGAACCACGGCAATCGCTCCCAAGAGCTCAGTTTTTAAGGTAGATCCAATTTCTTTGCATGAAAGGACTCAGAATTGACCGCGCTATCAAACTGCTATCTCGGATTTTCAAAATTTTGAAAATTTCGAAAATTTTATATAATAATATTCAAAATTTACATTTTTATATTTTTTTCAAAAAGTTTTTGACTTCGAAAAAACCGGAATATATGTGACAGAACGCATGATTATGACTAACTCTAGCAAGTTTTAGCTAAATATCTTCAAAAATGGCCAAGTTATACGCATTATTGCAAAAAATTCACAATTATTAATTTTTCAAATCAATTTTTCAGTACGTATTTGGCTTCGTACACCAATATAAATGGCACCATCGTGTTCCTGAGCTCAAACTGCATCCAATAGACACCTTTTTTGTTGAAAAATTTCAACTTCAAAATTTGACCTTTTTTGACCTGAAAGTGACCTGACCTAAGCTAATTTCGACTCAAAATGACCTTGAATGACACAGACGACATCAAATTCGAAATCTATGGCCTAAATGGACCATAAAACATGTGTCACGTGACCGACGCATGATGTAATATTTTCGTGACCTGTGATGACCTGACCCTGACCTGAAAATCAAAGTACAAGTTTGGTACCCTCAAGGTATCTAGAGCATCTGTTCACGAGTGTGTAAACCAAAAATGAGCCTGATCTGACTTGTAAGACGGCGGCCAGAGCCCAAAATGTGAACAAGCCAAAGTGCTAATAATTTTTACTTTGACCTGACCTGTGACGTCATCGGTCACCTCGAGGTCAATGAAATTAGGTTTCGCTCGACAGTTTTTCCAGGGCTATCAAACGCCGTTTGAATT